GTTGAATGGTTGATACTTCCTGCCTCTCCTCTAAACTATTTTTTTTTGAGAACTGTGCCAAGTCCAAAGGGGAGCTTAATTGCGGATGAAGCTCACAGAAGTACATCCTCGCGTATGCACTGATAGTTTTGGAGAATGGTATGAGAATATTCATTCTGTGTGTGTTTGAACTGAAAGAAGGCCTTTTATGTGCCCTTATAAGGCATATTGAATCAACGGATATTGTCCCCTTCATCAAAAGAAAAGGTTTAGTTAAGACAAAATACTATAATAGTAAGACTATATTTATTATTTCATGCTTGCAAGTAGCCAAGTAGGTATGTTAATGTTGACTAAGTTGGCCATACCGATGGTGCTGGTGCTGACACTTCGCTTTTGATGCAAATTACAAATATATGAGAACACCATGCATTATTCTTTCAACTCTGGCAGTACAATTTTTTCTATCATTTAAATGCCCTTTTACCACTTTGAGCATAGCGAAACTTGCTTTACATTGTGGTGTGATCATGAGCATAGTAGTAACCCCTTCCTTTTCACTTTTGCCCCAAGCGACACCTGTTTCTGCTCCTCTTGATTGATATATAATCTTAGTGGTCTACTGATGAATTTCTAGACGGGATCTCTCCCAATTTGTGGGATTGGTTACTTTCCTGCTTGGGCTCTGTGTCTGCTCTTTTCAGTTTTCACTTTACCTTAATCACCAGTAGTTAAATGTTACCCTATGTTGACCCTAAGATACAGGCTATTAAAGGTTTTTGACTAACTTTCGTTTAATCAATTATTTTGTTAGTAGTTCGTCAACAATCCGATTTGAGTGATTTCATTTGTATTTAATTCAGAGAATTGAAATGTTGGAAGCACTTGAGGCGTTTAGCAATATGGAAGTAGCTGGTAGGCTTCTTCATGCTCGACAAGACTTCAATGAGTAAGTTGTCTTCTTTACTTTTACCCTTCACTACGACATTCATATATGACATTTGTTCTGCTCTTAAATTTTATGGTGTATGCCTGTGATTGAGTGACATCTTTGTGAATCAGATAATGAGTGCTCTAGATGGCTGCTCTCCAGCTACAACATCATTTTGACATTTTAGCATTTGTTCAAGCGTGTGTATGTGTGAGAAATGTATTTTTGAGAACATATAAAATTATACTACCTCCGTCCCGCAAAGAAGTTCCCACTTTCCTTTTTTAGCAGTCCCAAAAAGAAGTTCCCCTTTCCCTAAAAGGAAAGTTATCCTACATCAAAACAGTGCCAAACAGTGTCAAACAGTGTCGAAACCGTGTCGAAACAGTGTCAAAACAGTAAAATTTACCCCCTGGTAAGTTTATTTCCTTAATATGTGTGTAGGTCAAACCGTGAACATCTTTGCGGGACGGAGGGAGTACTATTTTTCCATCGTTTTATACAAAGACTTAGTATTTTTTGGCTTGGGAATATGATGAAATAAAACAAAATGGCTCACTAAACTGTTTGTGCTACCTAGTTACGAAGCAACAGTGAGTCCATGCAATATTCAGTGCGATTTTTATCAAGGGTCATCTGAAAACGGCCTCTCTGTGCTTTAGTACAGAGGTAAGGCACTAAGGTTGCGTACATTCGACCCCCCTTATCCCACCGTAGGTGGGGCCTTTGCGGCACTTGGGTAATGTTGTTGTTAAATAAAACTATCCTTTTTTACCTTCCGTACTTCCTCTTCCCTTGTTTCAGGAACGACTATGAAATGTTATTGGCACTTGATGAAGATAATCACCATCATGCGGGTGCATCAATAAATCAGATTAATGGTTTGCCACTGTCAGTTGTTCAGGTAAAATTTCAACTCACAAGGTGTTGTAGGCCTTGAGAGAGACTGTGTTTCCCCGGAAGTGATACTTTGCTTATATTGACTCATGCCCATTGCAGGTTGAGAATCTCGAGGAAGCTTGTGCTGTTTGCCTTGAAACTCTGATAATTGGAGACACAATCCGCCTTCTCCCTTGCGTGCACAAATTTCACAAAGATGTAAGAGCCTCGACCATTTCCTAATTCTCCTCTTTGGAATTAAATAATGTTTTTAGGTGTCCACCCCTCATAGTCCCTTACATATTGTTAAACTTCTGTAGTGCATCGACCCATGGCTGCTAAGAAGAACACTGTGTCCAATCTGCAAGATATCCATTACTTGATTTGTTGGGGTGGGCAGCACGATCTCATTCTTTGTATACTTGCATCAATTACATGGGCTTTCACGATTTAATCTGGCGAAGAGGCCTGCAGGCCAGTTGAAAGACTGCTGCTGCTGTTTTTTGTTAATTTCCTACCCTGCGCATATATGTGTTTTTTGCTACTCTTTAGAAGCACAGTTTTTGGAGAACAACAATTGAATGATATAGAATCAATTATTCAAATAATTGAAGCAGTTTCTTTCATCATAGAAATAATTGAATTCATAACCTATTGAATATGCTATTTTTATTATCTTTTTAAGGGACAAAAAGATTTCTCATACAAATATCAACTTAAGTGTCATCTGTAGACTTAGAGCCGGTTTGATGACCTTTGTTTTCGTCTTATCAAGTTTATCAATCATTTTTCCAAGCACACAACATTGTATTTCATACTCTGAATTGTATAATAGTCAAAATAAGTAAGGTTGAAATTATTTTTTTTGTTGAATTGGTTGAAGTTATTGTGAAAGATTATTTGAGCTATTTTCATATAACTTTTTATTAATAAAATATATTATATATATAATTTTTTCAACTGATTTAGTCATATTAGCCGCTTCAACCAGAGCTTATACAATTTTAGAATAATTAGCCGATTCAACCAATTTCAATATTATCAAATAAGCTCTTAATTTTCACTCTAATCATAAGCCTTCCAGCATTCCACTAATGGGTGAGCATTTTGCGAACCGAACATTATTTATTATAAGAATTAATTGTTACAAAAGTAATAGAATCGAGTCGCTATATCATGGGAGCAACTCATCGTGAGCATTATACTTCTACATTTAAAATATGCGTGAATATTGACTCCTTGTTTTAGTAACAGAAATATATGTTGTGGTGTAGCTCTCTTTCATGACAAATGTAACTCATGTTGATGGAAAATGAAATGCAAGTTATCTTTCATGACAAATGTAACTCATGTTATGATGTAGCTCTCTTTCATGACAAATTGAAATGCAAGTTATCTAATACGGAGTAATAAAAGATATAAAGACCATGATTAAATGGGAGTCTAATTGACCATAACCTAAATAGTGAATATGTTTTATTTTTTAATACAAGAGCTATAAAAGATAATACTCCCTCCGTCCCAGAATTAATTTCGGTTTTGACTGGGCACGAAGATTAAGAAAGTGGGAAATGTGTGGTGGAGAGTTGTGCAGAGGAGAGAGAAATGTGTAAGAATGGTTGTGAACCACAAATCCTTTGCTAAAAAAGGAAAGAGAAGATAAATTTGGGACGGACCAAAAAGGAAAGAATGAAGATAATTATGGGACGGAGGGAGTATATTTATAAATATCACAGCTATATTTGTGTATGAACGAAGAGTAAATGTAGTGTAAACCGTGTGCATAAAAATGTTAACGTTATTGGAAATGTATTTTCACATTCTCACGTAATGACATCTGTCCCCGTTACTAATAATGTAATCTCACGTAGTGAGAAATGCAACTTGTATGCTGAAATATCTGATCTTTCAAATATGAATCACACGAACTGTTTCCGGATGACCCATGGTGAAAATCGTGTCGAAAATTGCACGAACTGATTGCTGCTTCATAACAAAGAGGCAACAAAAAAGCGTAGACGGTTTAGTGAGTCATTTTGCTTTATTCCATCATATTCTCAAGCCAAAAAGTAGTGAATCTTTGGCTCCATTGCAAATGACGCAAAAATCCTTTTACGCATTTTACAAAAATAATTCACGGTGGAAAAGTTCACAATAATAATTTCAACTAGTAAACTGCCAGGGGCGGAGCCAGACTTGAGTGGGGGGGGGGGGAATATAATACAAGTATAAAAATATAACCTATGATGGACAAAAACTATCGAAAAATATGGCGCCGACGTCAAATTTCCGGTCATAAAGTGTACTTTCTAGTAGAAAAGTTCTAAAATTGCATAGTTATATTAGTTACAAGACCTAAATTACAAGAGAGTAAATTTGCACGACTAGTAACGGTCATAGCCAAAAGTTACGAGATTAAAAATGAAAATCTTTCCATAAATTATAAATATATTGTACCAATATGAAATGATACACCAATACTAATATTCATGTATAATATTCAAATAACAAATTAACTGCAGGTCTATTAGAACTTAGTTTATGATTTTTTTACATGATTTATATAAATGTTAATAATTAAGTATTAATTAATAAATTTCACTAGAGGTTTGACTTTTATATCAAGTAAGTATTACTCACTACTCCATATAATATTAATTGATGAAAAAAATATTAGTATTATTTGGTAACTAGGCTTTCACAAATTTATTTGGAGGGGGCAAAAAAATTTATAGTAATAATACCTAAGAAAAATTAAAAAAAGTGGGAGGGGCCATGGCCACCTTACCTTAACAAGTAGCTCCGCCCCCGTAAACTGCATCACAAAAATAAATTAAGAGCTGACGATGTTAACTTTTCCGTTATTTGTTTGAATTTTAAATATAATGAAGCAAAATTTATAGACATTAACAACATTATATTTCCACTTAAGCTAATTTCTACTATAATTTCTACTCATCACATTCTCTTTTATCTTTTATTTTTATCATTACTTTATTTATATTCAACTTTTTTCATCATAATAGATATTTCAAAGCAATTTTTGTAATACTACGTTAAATGTTAATACAAAGTATATGCTAATTATTTTTAACTTAGTCAATTTTATAAATATATATCTCTTGTAATTTGAATGGATGAGATACTAAATTATTATAGAAGAAACATGTTAATAATCATATTTATGAAGTATTTTTTAGAAGAAATAGGCTTAAATCGATAACACATCATTCAGATAGTAGGTAATCCGACAAAAAGATTCCTGACAACCGCCGTCCCGTGAACCAGACTCGGAATTAATCACCTCCAAGAAGAAATATAATTCGCTGATCCATTAATGGGGACAAATGAGCCAAAGACGGTTACCGCAATCCTCCCATCACCCACATCCAAATCAACCGTCTTACAAAAAGGAACAACAACGAAAAAAACCACACAACAAAATAAATTGTCACTAAAGAAAAACAAAAAAGCAAATAAACTTGAAACTCTGTCCGAGCCTGCCGAGCTGCACGAGCACCCGAACTTTCGTCCTCCCTTCTGACTGTATCAACTTCGGCGGACTTACTGATTGAAGCCCGCCCCTTCCCCGTTTTTTGTCCCATCAAGAGCCATGCTATCTTCCCCAACCTTGTCTCCTCCCCGGGCCTCCCAAATCCTTCTTCTCTTTTGCTCCCCCGATGTTTCCTCCTTCGTATCCGCACCCACTCCTTTAGTTATACTCTGCGCTGATTCTGATATAGATTCTTTCCCCCCTTCCCCCTTCCTGCCTCCAGACTTATTATCACCCATATATCTGCGTTCTCTGCCAGAGCTCGATGAACCCTCTAGTAACCACTTGCCACCTCCTGTAGCCTGTAGGGCTAGTCTTCACCCCGCTCCCTGCCCTAAGATGGACCCCAAAGTTTTTTTTCTAGTACTAGATCTTCTTCATAGTTCAACAGACAAAACTTATCTGAATGCCCAATTAAGCCGCATATAAAACAAAAATTGGGCAACTTCTCATACTTGAAATCCACCCAAAAACTCTTTCCTTCTTTTTTCAGGTTCGTACCATTTTTCAAGGATTTATCAACATTCATGCACACCCCGATTCTCATGTAAGACTCCCACTTCTCACTATTCTGATTATCATCATATTTTATAAACTTTACAATAAAATTTCCAACCCGCCTTGCAGTACCTAAATTAACTAGGCTATAGGGAACATTATGAATTTGAACCCAAAAATCAGCCTCATTTAAAACAATCTTGTGCGGGATATCATCAGGTTTAACTTCTTTCAACAATAACAGATTACGCTCAAACTGCCATGGACCTCCTTCAAGCACACGATTCATATAAACACGATGATAGAAAGTAAATAAGTACCTTTTTTCACCAACTTCTTTGATCATCATTCCCTTTCCCGGCCTCCATAGTGAGGACATAAGCTCTTTAAGGGTTGGAAATCTGACCTTCCTGTCAGTCAATAGCACTCCGACCACCGGAAATCCCGGACTGCTTTCCTCTACCGGAACGTCTTCAACATCGAAATCATCCAGGTCCAGATCTTTTTCCTCCGTCCCAATCACCATGTTTTTGTATTTGTCTACAAAACTCTCCATTCACAGCACGGTTCCTTCGTCTTCCACCCGGTTTTCGCCGCCGCACCCTAGCAGTTCCGTCGCCAAGAAGCCGCTGACTCCCAAATCATCGACGCCACCCTCAATCGAAAGCCGAAGTAAACCCTCATAACCGAATAGCTTGCGGAAGAAGATTCCTCCCACCGCCGAAGCCTCCAAAGCCGAAGATTAAGTCCTTAATCGCCGGAAAATCCCAGCCCCGCACCGCTCGATGATATCGATGGCGGACGAGAGAAACTAAGCGTTGCCCCAAGGCAACCCTAGAGAGAGAAACATCTTTTTTGTTACCTTCCATATTTATGAAGCTTTATATATTCAAATAAAATTAAATATGAATACATACATATTTTTCAGTAATAATTGAGTTTCTCATCCAGTAATAATTGAGTTTCTCATCCACTCTAGGAGAACGATAGTGCTCATTTTTCGGTGGCTGATTAATTTTTTTTAATTACCTATATAGGAGTAAACAATAAAAATTGTGCACAAATAGGAGTTGAACTTTCCGTGAAGTTTAGTAGGAGTAAAAATGGGTAACATGACGTAAATACCCTTAATGAAATCTGAAGCTGATATGCTTATTAATAATTCAAAGCAAAATATAGAAAACGAACTGTACAACAACAATCAACGACACAACCCTAGGAGGCCCATGACCACCTTCTCTGCTGCCGCCAGCCCGTCAACCATCGTCGTCGTCAATGGCTCTACCACCTGCCGTCGACACCCATGTCATCGTCGACGCTGCCTCTTCCACAACTTGCCGCCACTTCTTCCACCACCAATGTCACTCACCCAAACGCTGTCACCGCCATACGCAGCCGCCACCACCAGGCACCTCCGCCGTCAGTCACCGCCGTCACCTTGTGTAGCACCGCCGCCCGCCGCCGGATCCGCACCACCACCTTTGGCTAATCTAAAATATGGTAAAAGTGCTGTAAATATAATTGGGTCATTTAAATGTCATCTTAATGGCATTGGTATTAAAACAGAGATATGAATTTTATTGTCATCTGGGCATTTTCAAGGCATTACAAATAGTGAATTTATTGAAAGAAAAAAATATTGCCATCATCATGAGTCGGTTTCATCTTGATGGAATTAATGTAAAAAATGACATTATAACTTGTATTTAATTTCCATCTTGATGGAATTAATGTAAAGAAAATGACATTATAACTTGTATTTAATTTCCATCTTGATGGAATTAATGTAAAAAAATGACACTATGTGACAATATAATAATTTCAAAGGGAAAAACATGTCATTATTTGTAATGTATGTAGAATAATATTTTTATTTTTATCTTAATACTACGTATCATAAACATTAGCTTAAAATAGAGTATGAAAATTTTAGATTCAAATAAAAAAAATAGTCTGAAAAGTTAAAAAATTGATTTAAATCAAATGTAAAAAAATAATCAATACTTTACGAAGTAGAATTTTTATAAAATGTTGAGAGAACATCAGTTGAAAAAAGAAATTGAAAGAGAAAACACAAAAATCAACAAAAACGATAAAGCAGATCTCGAAAGAGGGGAAAATGAAGCAAACATCAAATTAAAAAAATTGTTTGTAATCAAGGCAACTTCACGCTGCAAGCCCGCAATAAGATGTTGCCATTGAGTGAATTAAAAGAAGGGAAAAGAAGAAGAAAGAAGAGGAGGAAGAAGAAAAAAAGGAGGAGAAGAGAAAGATAAAAACTTACTCATGGTGGTCGCCGGACTCGCTGCTGACAGTGGCGGAGCCAGACATTTATGGTTAAAGGGGCATGTCCTTAAGAATTTTATATTGCAGGGGCCAAAGTTTAAAATATCAACATACTTTCTACAGATTAAAAAGTATTTATACATAATATGTATTTAAGAATTTTTTTCTTGCAGAGGCCGTGGCCACCTCCAGCCCCTCTCCACCCCTGGATGCTGACCGCCGGTGGTTGGAGTTGGGAGGAAACATCTCCATTCAAACTTATTATAGTCCGCCGGAGATGAGATGGAGTTGTAGCAGATGGATAAAAGAGAATTCCGATGGAGATGAAATAATGGGAGAAACGTCTGGCCAGAGGATAAATGAGAGAGGAGAGAGGTAGCGTTGGAAATTAGAAAGCAGAAGGTTCAAGAAGAGTGTCTGACAGACAGAAAAGAAAGACCTCAAAAATTAATTCAGAGTTATTGTACGGGAGGGGTAGCGTTGGAAATTAAAAACGGCCGGTCAAGTATAACTCCTATTTGAGGAATAAATGAGGAGTAACTCTTAGTTTGGAACTTTTACATTAATTTAGTCCTATTTGGGACAATTACTTAAATTTTTTCACCGATCGCCACGCACCATCGATCTGCTGCAAAAATGCCGCCGTCACCAACCTATTTGGATGAAGTGTTGAGAGGTGTTAGTAATGGAAGTGTTAGTAAGTGTTGGCAGAAGCCAGAATGGAAAGTAAGTGTAAGTGTTAAACAAAATCTGCGCCTCTGCCGACAAACAAGATTTATTATACCCCTATTTTAAAAAAAGCCTTTCTAAATTAAAAAAAAAACCTTTTTTATCAAAGCCCAATGAACTTTCAAAAAAAAAAAAATCAAAGCCCAATGAAGAAACACTCCCTCATCCTTCGCTCTCTTCATCTCTCTCTATTACAGCGGCGCTTTGTCGCTTAATTGGCATAAGCCTTGACAAATTTTTTGCAGGAAAAGGGCGCATACAAATCTCCTTCTCGAATTATATATCCATCTCCGGGAATTGCTGGAACTGGGGCCTTCTTGCTTCATCGGTGCTTGAAGAAATCGAACGCGAATAAAGATTTATTCTTTTCACCTTCTGGTACAATCTCTTTTCAGCTGTTACTTTCAAGAATTTTTAGAACGTAAACCCTGTTTTCTTTAATTCGCATTGAAATTGTGAACCTAATACTCTAAAATTTAGGCAGTTAGGAGAAGTTAATAGAGATGAGCGACTTTGAACGTGGAAAGCTCCGGAACATATGCATTCTTGCACACGTGGATCATGGCAAGACCACGTTGGCAGACCACTTGATTGCTTCTTCTGGAGGAGGAGTACTTCACCCGAAGCAAGCTGGCAGGCTTAGGTTTATGGATTACTTGGATGAGGAGCAGAGGAGGGCTATTACCATGAAGAGTTCTTCCATTGCTCTTCAATATCAGGATCACTGTATCAACCTTATAGACTCTCCAGGACACATGGACTTCTGCAGTGAGGTATCCTCGGCTGCCCGCTTGAGTGATGGAGCTTTAGTATTGGTTGATGCAGTAGAGGGTGTTCATATTCAGACCCATGCTGTTCTTCGCCAAGCATGGATTGAGAAGCTTACACCTTGCCTCGTCTTGAATAAGATAGATAGGTTGATTTCTGAATTAAAAATGAGTCCTATGGAGGCGTATACCCGGTTACAAAGGATTGTCCATGAAGTGAATGGGATCATGAGTGGGTACAAGTCTGAAAAGTATTTGTCAGATGTTGATTCGCTTCTATCCTCCCAAACAGGAGATGTGAACGATGAGACCTTTGATTCCATAGATGATGATGAAGAGGACACTTTTCAACCCCAGAAGGGTAATGTAGTATTTGTATGCGCACTTGATGGGTGGGGCTTTAGTATTAGTGATTTTGCTGAATTTTATGCTACCAAACTTGGCGCAAGTGCATCTGTACTGAGAAAGGCGTTGTGGGGCCCTAGGTATTTCAACCCAAAGACTAAGATGATTGTGGGCAAGAAGGGAGTTAGTAGTGTATCCAAAGCTCGGCCGATGTTTGTACAGTTTGTGCTTGAGCCACTGTGGCAGGTTTACCAAGCTGCCCTTGAAGGGGATGGTGGCAAGGGGATGCTTGAGAAAGTCATTAAGTCATTCAATCTGTCCATACCTGCCCGTGAGCTTCAGCATAGAGACACAAAAGCGTTGCTTCAATCAGTTATGAGCCGCTGGCTTCCCTTATCCAACACTGTTTTGTCGATGGTTGTTAAATGCATGCCTGATCCTGTGTCTGCCCAGTCTTTTCGAATATCTCGCTTGCTTCCAAAGAGAGAAGATGGTGGGGGGAACTCTGATGTGTTTGCTCAAGCTGAACTCGTAAGGAAATCAGTGGAGACATGTGATGCCAGTGATGAAGCACCCTGTGTTGCATTTGTGTCCAAAATGTTTGCTGTTTCATCTAAACTGCTTCCCCGTGGAGAAACTTTAAATGAAAGTGAAAACGGTGATCCCGATGAAGAATGTTTCCTAGCATTTGCCAGGATATTTAGTGGGGTTCTTCACTCCGGGCAGAAGATTTTTGTTCTTTCCGCTCTTTATGATCCATTGAAGGCTGCCGAGTTGGTCCATAAACATGTGCAGGAGGCTGAGTTGCATGGTTTGTATCTAATGATGGGTCAAGGATTGAAGCCTGTCGCTTCTGCTAAGGCAGGGAATGTTATTGCCATTAGAGGTCTTGGCCAACACATATTGAAAAGTGCTACCCTTTCATCTACACTCAACTGCTGGCCTTTCTCGACTATGGTTTTCCAGGTTGCACCCACTCTTAAGGTTGCAATTGAGCCTTCTGATCCTTCTGAAATGGGTGCACTCATGAAGGGTTTAAAGCTTCTGAACCGCGCGGACCCATTTGTCGAGGTTACCGTTTCTGCCAGAGGTGAACATGTGCTTTCTGCTGCAGGAGAGGTGCATCTTCAAAGATGCATTAAAGATTTAGAGGAGAGATTCGCAAAGGTCAATTTGGAAGTCTCAAAACCCCTTGTATCATTCAGAGAGACCATTGAAGGTGACATGTTAACCTTTCTTGAAAACTTGAAAATGCTGAATAAAGGGAATGACTTTATTGAGAAAACAACGCCAAATGGAAGATGTGTTGTTCGAGTGCGAGTTGTGAAGCTTCCAAATGCATTAACTAAGCTGCTCGATGAAAGTTCATCTCTGCTTGGAGGTGTCATTGGAGGTAAATCATCATTGCACACTTTTAAAAGTCTGGAAGGTGCTGCTAACATAATGGAAGATGAAAATCCTATTGAAGCACTCAAAACACGCATGGAGGATGCTGTGGAGAGTGAATATATTGCTAGATTTGCAGGAACAGAAGATTCTGATAGGATTGAAATTTTCCAAAAATTGTGGCAGAAGTTTGTAAAAAGGATGTGGGCTCTAGGACCTTGGCAAGTTGGGCCTAATATTCTCCTCACGCCAGATTTAAAAACCGGTGATGGTGAAGGTTCTTCAGTTCTCATCAGAGGCTTCCCTCACGTATCTGAAAAATTGGGTTTTCTAGATTTAGTATCCAGCAGTAGCACTTCACCTTCCGAATCCTCACCCGATCAAGTATTGTTGAGAGAAGTAGAGAGTCTTGAGAGCAGTGTAATGTCAGGGTTTCAGTTAGCCACTGCAGCTGGACCTTTATGTGATGAACCCATGTGGGGACTGGCATTTTCCATTGAGGCATTCATACACCCATCTAATGTGCATTCTAGTGGCGCTGATTCATCTGCACCCCAAGTAGTAGACCAGTATGGTGTTTTCTCTGGACAAGTCATGACGGCCGTCAAGGATGCCTGTCGAGCAGCCGTGCTTCAGAAGAAGCCTCGTTTGGTCGAGGGGATGTATTTTTGTGAGCTGAACACCCCAACTGATTTTCTGGGCGCCGTGTATGCAGTTCTTGCCCGGAGACGGGCAAGAGTCATCAAGGAGGAAATGCAAGAAGGCTCCCCATTGTTCACTGTGCATGCATATGTGCCAGTTGAGCAGAGCATCGGCTTCGCTGATGAGCTTAGGAGATGGACTTCCGGCGCCGCCAGTGCTTTACTTGTCCTCAGCCATTGGGAAGCGCTTCCGGAAGATCCTTTCTTTGTGCCCAAGACTGAAGAAGAGTTGGAAGAGTTTGGTGATGGCTCAAGCGTCCTCCGGAACACGGCAAGGAAGCTTATTGATGATGTGAGGCGGCGGAAGGGTCTTCCCGTGGAGGAAAAGGTTGTCCAACATGCTACGAAACAAAGAACCTTGGCTCGGAAGGTTTAGGTAACTTAAAGCAGATGGTTTTGTAATTGTAAGGTATACAGTAGGTTATCTTCTTTATTCAATGTTTGAATCATAAGCTTCTGCTGGGGATATACCCTCTTTCTAAAGTCTTTTTGACAGTTATCTGGAACGCAACAGGGAAAAATACAACTCATGCTAATCAAAATTGTATATGAACAATGTTTGTCTCTATCATGTCTATATAAACAGACCTTGCAACTTTTATTATTTGTGAGAAGGGTACACATTGGTTTTCTTGTCGAAGGAGTAGAGACGTGATCTTCAATTTTTTTTAAAATTTCATACTCTTCTTTTATGCGTTTAGAAATATGATAGCCGTGGAAACTGTTTACTATTCATCTTCAACAAGATAGGTGAACATTTCAATACCATTTTTAAAAACTGATAAATATCATTTGTAGAAGTACCATTATTTGACATCACCCAGTGTAAGAAACACCAAGTTGGATATTCTAATACAAAGTGCTCTAAATATTGATTCATTTTGACAATATGAGATATAAGCTTATCAATTAATTTTGACAATAAAATGTTTAATTGGTGAACATTTGCATATGCTATACTCCGTATATTTTAGTACTTTCAAAGTAACTTTGCCTTATATGACTTCATAAACCTAAAACAAGTCAAGTTATATATATATATATATATATAGCTTGAATAATGTTTGTAGCCCGCCTGCTTCACACTTCATGGTATCAGGTTAGATTTTGATTTATAACTTCATTCCTATTTAACCAAATTACTTAATTTCAGATTCAACTAAGTTTCTCCAATATCTTTAGCTTTATTTTTACTTGATTTCAATTTTGATTCAACCAAAGTACTTACGAAAATCTTTCAAACTTCTTCCATTATTGTTTCTATCAACTCAGCTAAGGTATTCTAAACATTCTTTCATCCAGAGATTGTTTTCATTCAATTCAGCCATTGATAGGAATGCATGACAAATTAATGGGGTTATCCTTCTGCTGCTTGAGCACATGGAACAATTGAGTTAAGTTTTTGATGTATTTTTATTATCACAATATTATTAGGTCTCTAAATACATAGTTATTTTATACTGATTTGCTTGTGCTTCAATTTACTCTAACCTGATATCATTCACATTGCTACCTTATTTTCGCTTGCTCCAGATTAACCAAACTGAAACAAAGTGAAAAAAGGGATCCATAGTTATTAAAATATAGTTAGGTTTTAAGTGTTTATAGTGTTGTAAGATCATTAATCCATAGTTTAGTTTTAAGAATTTATAGTGCTGGAAGACCATTAATCCATAGTTTAGTTTTAAGAATTTATAATGTTGTAAGATCATTAATCCATAGTTTTCAAAATATAGTCTTCTTTTCAAAATTGTATTGAGCTTGAACTTCTTAGTTATTCAGATTACCTTTGAGTTTTTTTTTTTTTTACTCCAGGGGGCGTCTGGGGGAGGGGGCCTGGGGGCGCCCTGGAGTAATCTAGGCTGAAACTCACAACATTGAGTTTCGAACTCGAGACCTCCCGTAAGTGAGAATGAGTCGACGACCAGCTGGGCTGGACCGTTTCCTCAGATTACCTCTGAGTTTAAACCTTCAATTATTATCTTGACTTAAGTAATTTCCTATCATTTATTTTGTTTATATTATGATTCTGGAATGGAGCTAACATACCTTTTAACAATTTTGGACAAACTCATTTGCTTACGAATCTGAGAGGCTGTTAAAATCTGAAAATCTGAAGTTTGCATTGTTCTTAATGAGTTTTCGTAGGATGCTGTATTCTGCCTGCTGCACATACATTAGGTTCATAGAGTTGGTTTCAGGTTACCCCACTTAATGACAGAGCTAAATCGAAAGGCGTCAGTATCATTCTGATCATCATTAAAGGAATCAATACTTTTTAAACACCTAATTAAGCTCTTTCACAGCCCCCTTTTGACCTTCTGGAGCAGCTCAACAAGTTTCTTTTTGACGGTTTTGTTCTTCTATTGCTATGTCCATATGTGTGTTGTTTCTTCCAATTTGTTATTTAACCCAAATTCTTTACTTTTTCATGTTGAGTCCCTGAATCCTCCTACCATTTACATATGAGTCGCCCATTTTGAGCATGTGCAATATATACAACTCAATCGCTCATTTTCTTTCTTCATCACAAGAAACATTGTTGTGCTTTAATCATTTATTGTTACATGATTTTTTTGAAAGTGGAGCAGCAAATAACCTTTTTTTGTTAAAGCAACTGCCAGCATTAGGTTGAAGAACATATTTAGGGAGTGTTTGTGGTTGCTTAAAAAAAGCGTTTTTCAGCTTTTGGCTTAAAAAAAGTTGAAAAGAGTGTTTTCAAATGACAGCTTCTGCTTAAATTAATCACTTAAAAGCTAAAAGCTGGAAGCAGGTAGAAGAGTGCTTTAAACTGCTTTTCACTTTTTCTATTATACAAAAAGCAATTATTTTACCAAACACTACCAACTTTTACTTTTTTAGAATCACTTTTTTCTCAAACACTACCAACTTTTACTATTAATCACTTTTCGCAAAATCACTTTAAAAAATCACTTTTTTAAAGTTGAAGCAATTGCAAACACTCCCTTAATATCCTCATCAATTGGAAAGTTTTCTAGGTGTAGTAAATATAATGAATAACAAAACTGTTTTCTTGAGAGCTCTTTTGGGGTTGAGTTAGAATAGTCGGAATAGACATTTAAGTATCAATAGGTTTAAAAACTTAAACTTATACGTAGTATCTCGAGTTTTTTCCCAAAGAAGGGTAGTCTCCGATCTTATTTCCCAAATGAGGGTACTTTTAAACTTATTTACCAAATGATGGTAGTTTTTTCCTTGTCATCTAATTTCCGCCACATCACCTACTCCACATCATTCCACGTCATCAGCCATATGGGTATTCTTTTAAAATATAAAAAAATCCGTAGCCCCCAGGAATTGAACTCACAACCAAAATGGTGTATTTTGATCTTGGAACCCACTAGGCTACATTGACTTGTTGGTACAATCACACCTTTACAAGTATTTAACATCTATGTATGCAACGTATTTTGATATACGCAATTCAAATATAATTTAAAATAATTCTACATTAATTAAATAAAATGAGAAACAAAAATGACAACGGCTGGACTAATTCATCCCATATTTAATAAAAAAATCTTATATTACTAATGCGTAAACGTGTAAAAATATAAATTCCATGACAAAAATTTAAAAAAATCCAACACTGAAATACAATTTTTTTTACAATCATAATATAAGTATTTCACAAGTCTGAGATGGATTTGAGCCTATATTGACATTTTTATTTTTTATTTTATTTAGAGTAGATTTATTTTAAGTTATTCTTGTATAGCATATATCAAATTACGTTTTTGTTATAATTTTTAATTGAGCTTTAATTTTTTAATTGTATCTCTCAAATTAAGTATTTATCATATTCTTCTTTTAATGTTATGTTATCATATTCTTTAATTGTTTGAAGAATGACTAATATATCTCTAAAGGAACGATTAATATATGAATTAAGTTGGTGATGTCATGTGCTTAAATATATAGTATGTAGTATATGTCAAATAAATGTCAATATACTTGCAAAATACTTATATTGTGATTAGACCTGTCAATGGGTCGGGTCCGGGTCGGAACGTAGTGTTCCAGACCCGGACCCGCTAAGTAAATAAAGGACCCGGACCCGACCCGTTTACCCGGCGGGTCTAAAAATTTGGACCCGGACCCGGACCCAACGGGTCTCGGAACCGGGTCGGGTAGACCCGCCAAGAATCATATGAACAAGTGCACCAACATTATATAATTTTTTTGACACAACATTATATAATTTTTTAAAAATAGCAAAACATCTTTATGAAATGTAAATCAAAGTGCACAAATTTAAAAGCAAAATATATCTTCACTTTTCAAAAAAAATCAAGGTTTACATAGAAAATTAATACTTTTATTGAATAAAATATCGTTTGTTGTAGATGCGTACAATTCCGTACTTTGTGTCTCTTTCTCTCCCATAGAAAACTTGTATATTAGACTAGAAATTAGGTCACAAAAAGTTCTTTTGGACAAAAAGGATATTATATACTATTATATTATCACTTATACATTAGGTATGTATTAATTTGTATCTATTTAATCAAAGAATTAAAACTAATCACTTTATATATATATATATATATATATATATATATTAGTTTGTATTTTTATTTGAAGTATTATAACTAATCTCTTTATATATTAGTGTGTATATTAAGAATTTAAGAATTCTGTCTATTCAATAGCCTTAAGATGTATCCATCGTTCTTTGTTCTGTTTCATTCAGTGTAGGAGTGGGAAAAACCGGAACTCGAAAACCGACCCTAGACCGACCCGAATTATAATACTGGTCCGAGTTTTTTCTTTCTAATCGGCCCGACTTAAATAAAACCCGGACCGAACCCGAAATTCCGGGCTCATTCACGGGCCTTAAAATCTATAACTCGGCCCAGCCCGATAAAAAACCCGAAACAATTAGCTTTAATATAAAATTAATATAATATATGAATATAAATTTATAAATATTTCCTAATATATGATAATAATCACGGTGGATAAAAAAAGATTTAGCAACTTTTAGTGACTACAAATATGTTCAATTTGTTTAGCGTAATGACCATGAATATATATGCATAGCAACTCTAGTCACATTTTTTTCTATAAATTTTATTTTGTAATAGCTTTAAGAAACCTATATGCATCTTAAATAAAATATTAAGATAATTATCCTCTTTGGGTTTGAATTGTTGGTGATTTTGGAGGCTATTATGTGTGTTATTATTTGCGGTTTGTATTTTTGTTTAATTTTATTTGCAAATATGTGTTAAAATATAAAAGAACAATGAGATATTTCCCGTTCGGACTTTAACCGACCCAACCCGAACCCGGACCGAACCCGGGCTACCAAGAAACCCAACTTGGACCGAATATAACGGGCTTTGTTTCGGTCTCTAATTTTCATAACCCGAGATCATACAGGTAATTTCTTAGTTTAGCAAAAACCTGACCCAGACCGGACCGACCCCACGCCTAATTCAGTGTAGTTCTTTCTCTTAATAAAACTCATTGTGTCCGGCGAATGAAAAAGTAATTGGAGAGTTTTCTGGGTGGAGCGAATGTGAATGAATAATTAACTAATGCCAATAAGTATATTAGCAATAGTTAGTTGTTACCTATTTTCTTGAAAGAT